GTGTGGTGTTGCATATCAGTAATGCCAGCACTGGGGAGGCTGAGGCAGGAGGATCACTGTGAGTTGGAGGCCAGCCTGGACTCCATAGGGAATTCGAGGCCAGCTTGGACTACATAGCAGGACTCTGTCTCAAAAACAATAAACAACAACAAAAAAGAAAAAGTCTTACATAGCTTTTTTGGGTCTTGGCCCTCGTGGCCCCAGAAGCAGCAGCTTCTAGGAGGAGCCGTCATGAGGGGGTGCCGCCTCTTGTGATCCTGGGCCCCTGGATGTCTCCAAAGCTCGAGGGCCCTGCCCTTCTTGCAGAAGGCATAACAGGAGCATCCATCGCTGCTTGTGTTGTGCTGTGAGCTTTGGAATTTTTTGTTATGCAGCAGCTCACCTTGGCCTTTTCTGCCTAATACACAGCCCAGTTTAAATGTGGCCTCTTTCAGGAAGCCCTCCTGGATAACAAACTAGGGAACACCTCCCCCCACATTTGGTAGTACCGAGTGAACCAGCACTTTGGCAATGAGCAACCTCCTCAGGTCTTTTTCAGTTGTTTGTTTGTTTGTGTTTTGAGGCAAGGTCTCACTATGTAGCCCAGGCTGGCTGGGAACTCACAGCAATCCTCCTGCTTCAGCCTCCCCAGCACTGGGATGGCAGGTGGACATGACCACACCTGGACCTCATTTATTTAATTCAAGCTGAAACTAAGTTGCCCAGGCTGCCCCTAGAGCTAAAGATTCTCCTGCCTCAGCCTTCCAGCCTCCTCCTCTCCTGAAATTACAGGTGTGAGCCATCGTGCTTAGCTGATTGCTAGAACGTTTTACATTTTCTTTGCTTATTTTTTGAGACAAGGTCTCACGGCATAGTTCAGGCTGGCCTTGGACACGCTGTGTGGCCCAGGTGGCCTGGAATTTACAGTGATTCTCCCGCCTCAGCCTCCTGGGTGGATTGCTAGAGCATTCTGTCACAGAATGTGTACACTGATTTTCCTTTCTGTCTCACGCTTGCATGTGTGCGTGCGTGTGTGCATGTGTGCATGGCGCTGGGAGCCCGGGCCTTCCACACTCGGATGACCGGGAGGCCGGAGAGGGGAAGCGGGCGTCTCCAGAAGCCCGGAGGTCCCGTGGGAAAGCGCCGCGCTGTTTGTTTTCTTTGGGCTGTGTGGGGTTTCCAGGGCGGCCTGGGAGGGGCGGGAGGGCGGCGGCTTCCCAGGACGGGGAGGGGGCGCAGGCTGAGTGCAGGCTGGACCTGGAGCGGGTGTCTAATGCAGCGCTCTTTTCTTTTTCCGTTCCTTTTTTCCTTTCTCCCTTCTGTCTTCCTCCCTTTCTGTGCTGAGGACGGTGCTTAAGACCTTGCTCATGCTGGCGAGTGCTCTACTACTGATAACATCCCCAGATTTCTGTTGCTTCAATTTTATTTACTTATTTATTTTTCAAACGCTGTCGTTGTGGCTCAGTCCTGTAATCCCAGCACTTGGGAGGCTGAGGCAGGAGGATCCCTGTGCATTTGAGGCCGACCTGGGCTACACAGTAAGAGCCTGTCTGAAAAAAACCAAAAACAAAACAAAAAAGGAAGAAGACAGAGGAAAGTGAAGCAGGGACCTTGTTGCTGGCCCCTGACTACCGTCGTATCCAGGGGTCACATCACCCTGAACTGCTCTGGGGATACAGGGACAAGAGGGGGTGTGTGAGAAGGAGAGGCAGCCCCAAGGCTGGGGAGAAGCCGGTGGAGGCCAATGCAGACAAGTTAGGAGCCCACCGAGCCCGGGGGCCCCGCGACATTGTAGGGAGGTGAATGGGGACAGAGACCCAGCCACCCAGGGAACCGAGGTTCCAGGTGTAACCCTGGGGGAGGTGGGGGGAGGACAAGCAATCCAGGCTCCCCCACACTCTTTAAAGGTTTGTGTGTGTGTGTGTTTGAGACAGGGCCTTGCTGTATGGCCCAGGCTGGCCTTGAATTCAATTTGTAGCCCAGGTTGATCTAAATCTCCTGGAGATCCTCCTGCCTCAACCTCCCAAGGGCAGGTGTGACCTGATCCAGGATATCCCTGAGAGAGGAGACACCTGAGGTTGTGCTGTGTGTGTGTGTGTGTGTGTGTGTGTGTGTGTGTATGTGCGTGTTTTGAGGGGGGAAATGGTCAACCACCAGATCAAATATAGGAGGGTCAAGTGGGTGTGATCCAATAATCCCAGCACTCCAGAGGCCTGTGCAGAAAGATGTCAAGTCAGAGTTCAGCCTGGGCGATCTGGCTACTCACAAGACTGTCTCAAATAAAAAGTTAAAAAGGGTTAGGAAGAGGGCTCACTGTGAAGTCCTTGGTTAGTCCCCAGCACGGTAGAAATAGTAAGAAAGAAGGAGAATAGGGAGGCCACCTATTCTCTAGAGCCTCTAGAGCCCATCTGCCCTGAGGATCGGGCAATGAGGTTCCTGCTGGATGTCACCTGGGAGGCCCTGCAGCCTAAGGACGCAGACACACGTGTTCACCAGCCCCGGTCAGCCTCTGGCTCTTCAGCCTCCAACACCCTCACCCCCGCCCCGTCCTGTCCCCTGGGGCCACATCCTTTGTCACCTTTTGTGAGGCAGGATCTCCTTATGTAGCCCAGACTGGCCTCACAACTCCTGAGGAGATCCTCCTGTCTCAGCCTTGCCCATGCTAGGATTACAGGCATTCATCGTCACGGCCAGTGGAAAAGAAAGTTTGGGCTCAAAATAAATAAAAACTGCTGGAGAATGTAGCTGAGTGCAAAAGCCCTGGATTCACACTTCAATTCTAGCTGGGCATAGTGGCGCACTCCTGTCATCCCAGCACTCTGGAGGCTGAGGCAGGCGGATCGTTGCAAACCAGAGACCAGCCTGGGCTACAAAGTGAGCTCAAGGTCAGCCTGAACCGCATAGGGAGACCCCATCTCAAAAAACAAACAAACTTCATTTCTAAGTACCAGAAATAAATTAAGGAATACATGTGAACATAAATTGATGCCCTGGCTGGGGTGTACCCTAGTGGCCAAACACCTGCCCAACATGAGAAAGGCTCTAGGCTCCACCTCCCTCAAATATACCCTCAAATATAAACAAGATCGATCCCTGGTACCAAAGTAAATAAAGGGAAAATAAAAAAGAAGAGCTGGGCGTGGCAGTTCATGCCTGTAACCCCAGCACTCTGCAAAGCTGAGGCCAATTAGAGCTTAGCAGGGGTGAGAGTGAATCAGCAAGACCTTCTCAAAATAAAAATTTCAAAACGTGTCGGGTAGCTCCGTGGGAAAGCCCCAGCATCACACACACAGAGAAAGAAAGAGGAAATCTCTGCGGCTTTAGCCACCTGCCTGTGGGATTAAACTGCTTAGTTTTCAGTACCAGGAATTGAACTCAGGACCTTGCACTTGCCAGGCAGGCGCTGTAGCACTGAGCTGTATCCCCAGCCCACCGATGGTACTGATGATGGTGACTCATGCTGAGAGCGTGGGATTGCAGTTACTGCTCCAGGGAAAAAACAAACTGGGCATAGACAAGTGGCCCGGTGGCTGGGGGCGGAAGTCTGGGGAGTCTCACTCTTTATTTTTTGGTACTGGGGCTTGAACCCAGGGGCTCCACACTGATTGATACCCCCAGCTCTAATTATTTTGAGACAAGTTCTTGCTAAATTGCTAAATTCCCCAGACTGGAATGAACTTGCCATCCTCCTGCCTCAGCCTCCCGGAGTGCTGGGATGACAAGTGTCACCACAGCCAGGTTGGAGGTGACATTTGAAGGCTGTGAGGAGGAGGCGGCAGGAGAGGAGCAGGATCCTGGATAAACAGCAAACACAAGGCCCTGAGGTGACGCCAGCTGAGGGCCAATGGAGTGCGGAAGGGGGAGGTTTGGGGTGCTGCTTCGGGCCCTCACCCAGTCTCATCTGCCCTCTTTTTTTCCCTGTCTTTTTGAGACAGGGTCTCACTATGTAGCCCAGGCTGGCCTCACATTCAAAGTGACCCTCCTGCCTCCGCCTCCTGAGTGCTAGGCTGATGCATACGCACCACCATACCAGGCTCTCAGATGCCATTTCAGAGGGCTGAGGACAGATTCTCTGGGGCTGGCCACTAGAGGCCACCCTCTCTGGGTCTTCCGGGTCACCCATTGTCATTATATAGCTCTCACTAAGCGCTCAGGTGCCACACTACACTCTCTTGGGGCGATCTCGGCTCATCCTCGTACAGCCTTATGAGGTAAATGGATTAAAATATTTTTACTGCTTTACTGCGCTGTACACTACATTTTATTTGTGGGTGTGGGTGTTTTCGATTCTTAACTTTCTTTTATTTCCTATAGTTTCATATTTTAAAAGATTAAAAAAAAAAAGTAGGGTCAGGGATACAGCTCCTGTTTAGCAAGCATGAGGTCGTCAGTTCGATCCCCAGTAAAAATCAATCAATTAAAATAAAATAAAATAAAATAAAATAAAATAATAAAAAGTAGTGTATGTGTCTTGAGACAAGAGCTGGCTATGTAGCCTGCCTGCTTTCCAACTCGCCAACATCCTCCTGCCCCGGCCTCCAGAGTGCTGGGCTGACGGCATGCCCCACCACACCAGGCTTTTAAAACCTGTAATTTTTAAAGAGTTTCATAAAAATTCATTCATGTGATTGAGGATACTGGAGCCCACTTTGCCCTGGAAGAAACTGCACAGCGTGGCTCTGCTGGCCTGGGACCTGACACCCAAAGACGCGGCCTCAGCCTGGGGTTGTTCTGGGTGCGCAGCTTCTAGATTCGTCCCCGTCGCTGCTCCGAGTCGCACCTGTTTTGCACGCGAGGAAACGGAGGCCCCGAGGGGCGCGGCTCTCCCGGGGGTCGCCCCAGCCGGCCGCCGCAGGGTCCGAGTGCAGCCCGAGCGCTCGCTCTGGCCAGTGAGCGCGCAGGTGCACGTTTCCCAGGGACCTCGGGTGGGGGCGTGTCGGGGGCGTGCCGGGGGCGTGGCTACCGGCTGGGGCCGCCGATAAGGGCCGGCAGGGGTGCGCGCGCGCCTGCGCGGTGCGATAAGGCGGGCGTGGGGCGTTGAGCGCTTCCCCGAGGCGCCGGGCTGAAGATTCTCCGGGTGGGGGCCCCGGAGCGGGCAGGGGACCTCGCCGGGGGCCGGGCTGGGCGGGGCGTCCGCCCAGGTCCCGCCCGCCCTCATCCGGGGGCCTGGCCCGCTAACATGGCCGGGGCCGGAGCGGCGGCCGGCGGGGCTGCGGCCGGCGGCTGCTCGTGGGGACCCGCGTAGCGCCCCCCGCGGCCGCGTCCTGGCCGGGTTCCCTGGGGCGCTCCCCACGACCCGCCGGCCCCCGCGTCCCCGCGTCCATGCACTCTGTGTCGCCCGCCGCCGCGCAGTACCGGAGCGGGAGCCCGGAGCACGCGCGCCGATCCGAGGCCCGGAGGCCGCGGGGACCCCGGGGCCTGGACCCCCACAGCCTGGGGTCCCCTGGACCCAGCGGCCTCGCGCTCGGCCCGCCCGGCGCTGCCCACGTGGAACCCGACGAGGTGGACAAGTTCAAGGCCAGGTTCCTGACCGCCTGGAACAACGTTAAGTACGGTGAGGAGGGGGCAAGGTCAGGGTGGGGGTGTGCGGGACAACCAGGCCCTGTCCCCCGCGACGACCGTCCCGTGTTCCTGCCCCGTGAGTCACCCGTGGATGCCAGCCCCGCCCCGCCCGGGGTGGACCTGGGACAGGCTTAACAGGGAAGGTTTGCCAGCCTCGCCCTTTCCCTGTTTGACCTTGGGACAGACTTCATGGTTCTCTGCCCCTCCACTTTCCCTGCTCTGCAAAATGGGTACCATCGTCAGAAGTGCTTCATTCGGGCAGACATCTCAGCATTTGGGAGGCTGAGGCAGGACTATCGTTGCAAGCCTTGGGCTGGCTTGAGCATAGTGAATTCAAGGCAAGCTTGAACTACATAGCTTGCCTTGAACCATTAAAAAGCAAAAACCAAAAAACCGCCAGGCATGGTGGCTCAAACTTGTAATTCCAGCATTTGGGAGGCTGATGCAGGAGGATTGCCATGAGTTTCAAGGACAGTCTGAACTAGCAAGATGCTGTCTCTAAAAAATAAATTAAAAACAGTCAGAGTTGCCTTCATTCCTGCTGAGTTGATGGTGGACACTCAGGCAGCTCTTACCACTAATGCCCCATGTTCATCTTGGAGAGGGTCTTGGGATCCCAGCGACCTCACATATAGAACCATAGGGTTTCTCACTGGGTGCTACCCTACATCCTGCCAGGGTGGATGGTCAAAAGCCGGACCAGCTTTAGCAAGCTCTCCAGTATCTACCTCTGCGGGCGCCGCTACCGCTTTGAGGGTGAAGGTGAGTTTTGGACAAGGCCCAGGGATGGAGGACAGTCCCTGCCCTAGGGACCTGTACCCAATCTCTGGTGGCTGGTGACAGACCAACTCTCCTAGGTGACATCCAGCGTTTCCAGCGAGACTTTGTGTCCCGTCTGTGGCTGACCTACCGCCGGGACTTTCCTCCCCTGGCTGGGGGTTCCCTGACCTCAGATTGTGGCTGGGGATGCATGTTACGCAGTGGTCAGATGATGCTGGCCCAAGGCTTGCTGCTGCATTTCCTGCCCCGAGGTGAGCCCTGCAGGGGGATGGAGTGTACTAGAACAGTGCCCTGTGTTAGAATTGTTTGCAAACTGAGTTAAAAGCCACTTTAAAACTGTGTCGAGCCAAGTGTGGTGTGGTAGAGCAAAGTTGTAGTCACAACCTCAGGATGCTGAGGCAGGAAGGTCACCTCAAGTCAGAGACCAGCCTAGACTGCATAGTGAGAGCACCTCAGAAACAAAGCTGAAAAAAGTAAATAAATTAATAAAGTCATTAATTAATAAACTTACAGAAGGCACTTTGGGGGTAAGTTTTCTAGCAGAGTTCCAGGGCAGATATGGCTGTACTTGCCTGTGACTCAGCAGGCTGAGGCAGGAGAATCATAAGTTAAAGGCCAACCTAAGCTACATAGTCAGACTCTGTCTGTCTCCAAATGAATTCATTAAATTTTAAAACTGGGCTGGGGTTATCTCTGGTAGAGCATTTGGCTAAAAACAACCAGACCTTTGGTTTCATCACCAGCACAAAAAATAATTTTTAAAACACAGCAGTGTGAGGTATGTGAAAATTGTAGTTAATGTTGGGCTTCTGGGAGGGTTAGCCCTTCAGGTGCCATATGAGTAAATGGGGCCAGGCATGATGGCGCAGACTTAGAACCCCATGCTTTGCAGGAGGCAGGAGAATCAAGCCAGACAGCCACATAGCGAGACCCTGTCGAAAAAAACAAAATTAAAAACAAAAGCATGTGGGGCTGGGGATTTAGCTCAGCGGCATAAGCGCCTGCCTTGCAAGCAGGCAGTCGTGACTTCGATCCCTGGTACCGATAAAAATGAAAAAGACAAAAAAAAAAAAAAAAAGCGTGAATGGGAACTGACCCTCCTACACACATTAGCACTGACCACACTCTCCATCCTCGCAGACTGGATGTGGGCTGAGGGTCCAGGCCTGGGCTCCCCCGAACTGCCCGGAACGGCCTCCCCCAGCCCGGGCCGAAGCCCTGCCCGCTGGGTGCCCCCGCGCTGGCCCCGAGGTGCCCCCGAGTTGGAGCAGGAGCTGCGGCACCGGCAGATTGTGTCCTGGTTCGCCGATCACCCCCGGGCCCCCTTTGGCCTCCACCGGCTGGTGGAGCTTGGGCAAAGCTCAGGCAAGAAGGCGGGTGACTGGTACGGGCCGTCGCTGGTGGCGCACATCCTCAGGTGAGAGCTGGTGCAGGGCACGCGGGGAGCCGCTGGGTGCCCCCAGGAGCTCAGCCCAGCCCTTGTGTCCCCAGGAAGGCCGTGGAGAGCAGCTCCGAGGTCACGCGGCTGGCTGTGTATGTTTCTCAGGACTGCACAGGTACAGTGCTGGGCAGGGACGATTGGCTTGCCGGTCAGCCAATCACAGCGCCCCTGAGGCCCCGCCCCCTCGGAGGCCGGAAGCAGAGATGCCTGGGATGGTTCCCAGGCTGGAAGTGTGGGCGGGTCAGTGCCCTGCCGCCTCTGCCCGACCTGTCCACCTCCATCACTCTTGCGCTATAAACTACCTCCCCCCCCCGCAGTGTACAAGGCGGATGTGGCACACCTGGTGGCCAGCCGGGACCCGACGGCCGAGTGGAAGTCTGTGGTCATCCTGGTACCTGTGCGTCTGGGCGGCGAGACGCTGAACCCCGTGTACGTGCCTGGCGTGAAGGTATTTTCAGGGATACCGGGTTCCCCAACCTGGGAGACTCGGGGATTTTCAGCTTGGGAGACAGTTTTTGTCTTCTTTGTCCTTTTGACAATCCCCAGCCTCCAGTACTGGAGTTGGAATGCAGGAGCTCACACGAAGCTACCTCCCCAGCCCTCTTTAAAGTTTTTATTCTGAGCAAGAACTCATTGCGCCTCCTGCCTCAGCCTCCCAGAGTGCCGGGATTGCAGGCCGTCACCACCACGCCCTCCTCAGGCAGAAATGGGGCGTCTTCCGGAAGTGGGTGTCCTAATTGGGGAAATGGTCGATAATCAAATTGACACTAGTGATTGGAGACGTGGTTGTTGGTAGCTGACGTGCTCAGCATATCCCGAGTCCAGTCCCCATCACCAATAACACCCCTGCTAAATATAAAACTTGGCCCCTATGTAATCCCAGCCCTCGGGAAGCTGCCGTGGGGGATTTTGAGTTGGAGACCAGCGTAGGCTATGTGGTGTGTTGAAAGGGTCATCTCAGAAAACCACAGACAGAAATTGGTGGCGGAACCTGGTCTGTAGAAGGCAGGAATCAACCCCTGAAATGGCCCCGGGAAGCCCCCCTGTGGCTGGAGGCAGAAGTGGTCCAGGTGGAAGGAGCCCAAGGCTCAGAGGCTGGGAAACCTCTGCTAGGCCTCGCGCTGCTGTACTGTGAATTTCTCTCACTTCCTTGACCTTATCGCCCCCTATTGGACCATGCTTTGTTGTTCCTCATGCAGCTTCTGCCTGGTGGGACCACCCTGCTGTCAGAGCCTTCTGCCTCAGGGCCTTTGCACTTATTCTTTCTCCCCAGAGACGCTTGGTTCCAGCATTCCCCATCCAGTCTCCTCTGAAATATCTGTGACCCCTTAGCGAGGCTTATCTCAAACTTCCGTTGCAAATTGCAAAATCCTGGGCTGAGGTGTAGCTCAGTGCTGACTGCTTGCCAAGTATGTACAAGGTCCTGAGTGCCATCCCCAGGACCACAATAAAGTAAAATGCAAAAAAAAATCGGAACCAGCAGTGATGACACACACCTGTAATCCTAGTACTTGAGAAGCTGAGGCAGGAGGATTGGCAGGAGTTTGAGGTCAGCCGGGGCTATATGAAGAGCTCAAGGCCAACCTGAACTGCATGGCAAGACCCTGTTGTCAACAGTTTTAAAAGTATTTGTTGAATGGGGGCTGGGGAGGAAAAAAAAGTGTTTGTTGAGTAACTGTTTGATACCACCTATCTCAATTTCTACTCTTCCCTCCCTGCAGGAGCTTCTAAGGTCTGAACTGTGCCTGGGCATCATGGGAGGCAAACCAAGGCACTCACTGTACTTCATTGGCTACCAAGGTAGGACCCGCCCCACCGTGCTGCCCCCCCACTGTCCCCACCCCTGCTCACAACTGCCCTCCTGTAGATGACTTCCTGCTCTACCTGGACCCGCACTACTGCCAGCCCACCGTGGATGTCAGCCAGGCTGACTTCCCTCTGGAGGTATGACCATGTCCCCAGGGCCAGGGCTAGGGGCAGGAAGGAGTCGGGGTCCCCTGCAGCTCCCTCTCTCTTGGCCCCAGTCTTTCCACTGCACCTCCCCCCGCAAGATGGCCTTCGCCAAGATGGATCCGAGCTGCACGGTGGGGTTCTATGCAGGAAACCGGAAGGAGTTTGAGACACTGTGCGCTGAGCTGACCAGGGTGAGTGACAGGAATGGGCAGTGAGGCCTGGGTCCTGCACGCTTGGGGGTGCGGGCCGGATGTGGGGGTCTGGGAGTCATCGAGTATCCATGTGGGGGCTGGAGGTGCTGCTGGCTGGCAGAGCATGTGAGGCTCAGGGGGCCCCTGGGATGCTGAGGCAGGAGGGTTACAAGTTCAAGCCCAGCACAGACAACTTAGTGATATAAGGCTGGGGGTGCAGCTCAGCGCGAAGGCCTTGGGTGCAAGCCCCAGTTCCGAGTTCCCGCCTCTGAGAACTTGGAAGAGTGCCAAAGGTACCGACTGTCTCCACAAACCAGAAAAGCCCTATTTGGTAACTGATGAGCTAAACAGCATCACTGAAAAGCTTGGGGACAGCTGTATCCAAGGTTCACAGGCCCTGTGCCCCATGGTGGTGGGAGAAGCACCCCCAGACCCCTTAGGGTTAGGAGCTTCGCCTCTGCCCCAAAAAAATCAAGGCTGCTATTCACTGGCTGGATTGAGTCACATGCCCACAGATGAGCCAATCACTGTGAAGGAAGATGCTGATTGGCTGGCTGGGCCCGTGTGGTTGTCATAGTGTTGGGCGCTCGAGTTCTGTCCCTCCTCCCGCAGATCCTCAGCTGCTCCTCCGCCACCGAGCGCTACCCCATGTTCACCCTGGCCGAGGGCCATGCTCAGGACCACAGCCTGGATGACCTCTGCTCGCAGCTCTCGCAGACCACCACACTGCGGCTCCCCCGCACCGGGCGCCTCCTCAAGGCCAAGCGGCCGAGCTCCGAGGACTTCGTGTTTTTATAATGGAGGGATCGGGAGGGGGAAGATGTGAGACTATTTTTTTATTTATGTCACCTCAGTGGGGGACTAGAACTCTAGAGATGCTAGGGGTTCTGGTTCTCGACCTCTCTACCACCCAGCTGAGACCAGTCTAGGAAACCACAGGACTGGGGCCACTCAGCCAGGGGCCACCACCTGCCACCCGCCAGCTGTGCCCTCCTAGGGCTCCTCTCAGGGCGGGGAGCAGCGGAGACCCCGGGCACCCACTCAGGGCCTGACTTGCGTACTGTAGTTTGCACTGGACCGGCCGTGCCCTTCACTGTCCCCAGGCCTCTACCCAGGGCCACCGTGCCTGCTGGGGGGCTAATAAAGCTGTTGAACTTGACTGGCTGTGGGCAGGCCTGTTCCCCTCATCTGCAGGCTGATCTGGGATTCCACAGAGCCGGGGGCACAGGTGGCAGGAGGACGTGACTGCTGCCAGGAAACGGGCAACCTGCATGCCCCGCCGTCCTGCCCTCAGGGACGGCTCTTGGGTCCCTGCTGTTTCCGCCGTTGCCGGTCCAGCTGGCGGAAGTGGAGCCGCTTGGGGTTGAGGCCAAAAGCCTGCAGTCTCTGGCGGCTGAACTCCCGGCCACCGAGGGTCACCGTGGGGCCCAGCAGCCGTGCCTTTTTGCCTCTCCTCCGCTTTGAGGGCACTGGTGTCTTGCAGGGCACCACGGGGGCCTCCTCCTCCTGTGCCAGGGGGTGCTCGGGCTGGGGCTGCTCCCGTGGACCGGCTGCATGTCTCTGCGGCTCCCCAGTGGCATCGGTGGCTGTCCCCATCCTAGGGGGGAAAAGTCAGTGCTCAGGCGAGGCCAGTCCAGCTAGCACATGTGCCCCCTTCCAGATGGGGGAGGGACAGGGGAGCAGCAGCCGGGGTCTGCCTGGGTGTAGACCAAGGTCTAATGCTGAAGCCAACGTTTTCCTTCAGACCCGAAGCCCGACTGTGTCATTCTGGTATTTACGCTACACCAAGCTCAGCCATCAACCTGCATTAGCTTCCGTCAGCTCTGGGCTTCTGTGACCCTCGCCGTACAGGACAGAGAATGATCACCTCAACAGCTAATACCTCTAAGGCATTTACTGTTGAAATGTTTTGGTGCTGGATTTGAACCCAGGGCTTTTCATACGCTAAGCGTGCACTGTACCAGGGAGCCCTACCATACCCAGAAACCCTGCCTATTTTCAGTTTCCCTGAGACGAGGTCTTGCCATACACTTCAGACTGATGTTGAAGTCACTGTCAGCCCAGGTTGGGCTCAAACTTGTGATTTGCCTGCCTCAGCCTCCCCAGTACTGATGGGACACGAGCTGTACTCACTCCTCTGGGCCGAGGGACCGGAAGATCTGCTGCTTCTTCCGGGAGTTGCGGGCCTTCTGGCTGTACGCCCGCTGGTCCTGCAGCTCCTCCTGCTCTGACCTGCAGGTGCGGGCGCCGGCTGTGACAGATGCTCTGGGGTGCACAGTGCGCAGCCCCACCTCCACCTGCTCCCCGCCTGCCCATGTCACCTGTACATGCAGGTCTTCTTCAGGGAACACCAGCGGTTGAGCTCCTTGTCATCAGCGGCCAGGATCTGCAGGGAGGGTGGGGCCTCATGGGTCAGCACGGGGCCACGCTAGCGCCCCCCGTGGGTCACAACGTTAGAGCAATGATTTCCGCACCTGTCTCTTGAGAGTTTGGTGAGAACCAGAGGGGGAAATGGGCTGAGGCCCTGACCTTAGTTCCCTACAGGCCAGGAAGCTGACTCATCCGAGACACCAGGTCCAAGCCCAAGGGGCCTCGGTCCCCGCCGGCCGGCCACCACTGCCCTCGGAACCTCAACACCGAGTAGGGATTTTTTGTTTGGTCTGTCTTTTTGACACAGGGTTTCCCTATGTAGCACAGACTGACTTTGAACTCAGTGACCCTCCTGCCTCAGCCTCCCCAAAGGCTAAGATGACGGGTGGGTACCCCTATATCCAGCTTCCAGCGATTTTTTTTTTTTTTCCAGTATCAGGAACCAAAGTCATGTTTGCCAGGCATGTGCTGTGCCCCTGAGTTATACCCCCGGCTTCCTAATGCCCACTCTGCTGCTCACAGCAATAGAATTAAAGTAATCACTTAGGGTGGCTGGGGTTGTGATACGGTGGTAGCAGCTGTAAAAGAAAAAAAAACCTCAAAGCTTGGCATGACGGTTCATGCCCTTAATACCAACATTCAAGAGGCTGAGGCAGGAGGACTCCTGTGAGTTTGGCACCAATCTGGTCTACATAGAAAGTTTTAGGGCAGCCTGAAATATACAGTAAGAGCCTGTCTTAACACAAAAATCAAAATCTTGGCTACTCGGGAGGTGACACAGGAGAAGGGTATCTTCAAGGACAGACAGCCTGAATAACTTAGAGGAAAAGTATTTCAAAAATGAAACAAAACCAGGCCCTGGAACCCAGCCTTTGTATGCACTGCCAGCACCCTGCCACTGAGCTGCACCCCGCCACAGTGTGTGTTATTCTGAGATCGGGTCTCCCTCTGCAGCCCACACTGTCCTTGAGCTTGACATCCTCCTGCCTCAGCCTCCCACGTGCTAATCTATTACTACCACTTTTATGATGAGAAAATGGGTCCGAATGTTACGGCCTTTCTGGCTCAGGGTCAGAAGTTCTCTCCTGCATCCTGTATGTCTCCCCAGTGTCCCCAGCCTGCCTGGGGGCCTCACCTCCTCAGTGCTGAGCCCAAAGTCACAGGGTACCACCCTGCGGTACTTGAAGCGACAGGGCAGGTCATCGATGATGTCCTCGTAGTCCAGCCGGTAGTACTCATCCAGGTACTCCTCGAAGGTCTTGTCCCCTGCACCGGAGTGGGGGGCGGAGTCAGGCTGCTGCGGGGCACCCAGGCCCGAGCACCCTTGGGCCCTGGGCCTTACCGGGGTTGAACACGGGCTTTTCCTGGCCCACAGCCGCGGCGAAGGGCGACCTGCGCTTCTTCCTGCCTGTGGCAGGGGCCTCACACTGTTTCTTCTGGGGTTGGCTGGGGTCGTAGTCGGCGTCCATCTGCAGGACACCACGCTGGGTCAGTGTGCAGGCCGGCACCCCAAGCCCGTGCCTCCCCTGCCCGACCCATGGCGCCTACATTGAAGTCCGGGTCCTCGCAGTGTGGCTCCTGCTGGCTCCACACGCCGTCACGCTCAGGCCCAGCCCATGTGTCCCAGTTCCAGTCCTCTGGATCCAGAGGGGACAGACAGACAGGGTCAGACAGGACCCCGGGGGCACCCCCAGCCCTAGCTTCACATGCCACAGTGTCACCTTCCAGGCCATCCTCTTCCTCAAACTGCGGCTTCTCCTCCTCCACAGCACCGTAGAAGTCATCGCCCAAGCATTTCTGCAAGTGGGACTCAGGGTCAGGGCTCAGCAGCCCACACCTCGACAGCCCTGTGACAGCTTCACTCTTGAGCCTCATGTAGCTTCCCAGTGTCCCCCAGCACCTTGTGCAGGGAGGCAAACACTCTGCCAGAGCCAAACCCAGCACTCGAGTACACAGTTTAGATTTTTGGGACAGGCTCTCAGTGTGTAGCTCAGCCACGTCTTGAACTCACTACATACCTCAGGCTGGCTCAAACTGGTGGCAACCCTCTTGCCTCAGCCTCCCGAGTGCTGGGATGACAGGCATGTGCCACTACGCCCAGCAATAAATGCACATCTTAAAAACTTCCTTTGGTTTTGTAAGACAGGGTCTCACTAGCCCAGGCTGGCTTAAAACTTGCGGTGATCCTACTGCCTCAGCCTACAACCACTGAGGTTACAGGTGTGCGCCACCCTGCCCGGCCTTCCTGACAAGATTTTCTGCTGGCTGGCTGGAGCCCCACTGTAGGTGAAGGAGTCAGTATGCCTGATCCTCTGTCATTCCGCACTGACCAGCTAACCTTTTTTGTGACTTACAACGGCCCTTGGGCTAGCCGCTGCTCTGAGCTCCACTCTGGGGTCAGGGAAAGAGGCTCAGAGAGGGTGATTCACCTGTCCCAGGCAGCACAGCAGGAAGGGGCCCAATTCTGTACCGATTCCCCAGGGCCTGGCCTGGCGTGCTCCCCAGCATCGGCCGCACCTGCATCAGCTGCTCGTGCTGGGCAGGGTCGAAGTCGCCCTCAAGGTCCTGCTCCTCCAGGCCCAGCGTCGAGTTGCCCGTGACCTGTCTCAGCTGCTCCAGCTTGGCCAGAATCTCCTTCCTCTTCAGGTTTTTCAGCTGCTTCAGGTCCTCCCGCTTCCTGGCCTTCTCCTGCGGGCAGGGAAGGAGGCCCTGAGCCTCCCCCGCGGCGGCCTGGGGCGCCCTTCCCGCAGGCCCTGGAACATACCCGCTTCTTCCGCTCCCGGGTCTCCTCCCTCTTCTCCTTCCTGCGCTCGTCCTTGCGGCGTACGGAGGATGCGATGCTGCGCGGGTAGGTCTTCACCTGGGGGCGCAAGGGGAGCCAGAAAGGCCGCCGAGGTCACCGGGGCTCTGCGGCCTGGACCCCAGGCACTGGCCCTCCCCGCCCGGGCTGAGGCCACACACCGAGGCCGAGTCTGGCTCCTCGAAGCGGAAGTTGTACTTGTGCTCAAAGGCTTCCTGCTTCTTCAGGAACAGCTCCCCCTCATCCGAGGAGTCGTCCACGGCCAGCTGGACTGGGGGGCCAAGGACCCTGGGGCACAAGACAGGGGAGCTGGTGGTCTTGCGGAGTAACACGGGGACAGATCCTACCGCCTACCACCCAGTGTGAGATGGGATCTCTGATTTCACTGTGCGGACCAGGCAGGCCTTGAACTCTTGGGGATTCTTCTTTCTTAGCATCCCAAGTGCTGGGATGACAGGCGTGCGCCACCACGCCTGGTCCTATCCTCCTTTTTCAATTTTTTTAAAGTTTGAGACAGAATGTTACAAAGTTTCCCAACTTGGGCTCAAACTTGTGATGAGACTCCTGCCTCAGCCTCCCAGAATACTGAGATTACGGGCCGGCAGGTGTCACTGAACCCAGCATGAACTCATTTAATCCTAGGAGAAGCCTATGAGTGAGCTGCTGCCCATTTTACAGAGAGGGAAGTTGAGGCACACATTCCTAGCCTGGGCACAAGATTACTGTCTGAACCAAGGAGCAACAGAGCCTCCCTGGGTGGCTTTGCCCTCCCTGGGAAAAATAAATCAAGCACAGGGGGCCCCTGGCTCCTGGCTGACACTGTGGGACAGCACACGAGGTGCAGCCACGGGGAGGAACAGCGCTCACCCCTCCTCTTCCTCCTCCTCCTCATCGCCCTCCACCTCCTTGTAGCGCTTGTTGAGGATATAATCCCGCAGGAACTGCTCCCCTGCATCCAGCTCTGGGTTGTCCCAGTATTCCTTGAGGTGCATCTAAGGAGGTGAGGTGTTGACAGGAGCCAGGTCATGACCAGAGAGAGGGGGAAGAGGGCAGGTGTGACCACCAAACGGACTTGAGTATCACAGCCAGCCTCCCTTGAGCGCAAGATCCTCCTGCCTCAGCTTCCCAGGTGCAGGGATTACAGACAGCTCACTTTCTAGGGAAAGGTCAGATGCAAACAAAACACACGCTTAGTTCAGGAGAACTCACCAATTCCTTCAGGGACTCGGGGTTCTCAATCTCTTTCTGTCCCTTCAGCCACTCGACATACTCGGCATCCTCCTGGGCCTGGGGAAGCCAAGCACTCAGGTCTGGGGGAACCCAGCACCCGCACCCCAGCCTGGGTCCCGCCCAGGCTCAGCACCCACCTTCTCCTCCCGGGTCTTCCTGCGCTTCTGCAGCAAGCCCGAGCCACCTTCCCCGGCACTGTCCTCGTCCTCACTGTCCTCCATGAATGGCCTGAAGCTGCCGTGACCAAGAAAGAACCTCAGGACCCACCGTTTATTTTAAGACAGCCGCTAAGTTGCCCCGGCGAGACCTGAACTTGCAACCCTCCTGTCTCGGCTGCCCGCAGCACATCACCACGCCCCGCTGTGACATCAGTAACCCCGTTTAACAGACAAGTGCAGGGGGCAGGCGGCAGCACTGGCTTTGATCCTGGCCCCAGCCCGGCTCCCCTAGCCCAGGCTCACCTCTCCTGGAGCTGCTTCTGTTCCTCCACATAAGTCTGCGACCAGGTTTGCTGCAGATGGGGGGGAATGACGTGGGCTCAGGCCGGCCCAGAACCCTGGAGCCCCCAACCCAGCTTCCATCCCACCTACCTGGCGCCTCCCATCAGAGCTCTCCCCTTCTGAGTTTTCCTCATCGACATATTTGCTGTGCAGAGAAGAAGGGGAGTTTGAGAACCCAGCTCCTGACTGGCAATAGCTCGCAGGCTTTTCAGGAATGAAACCCACTTCCAGCTTAACATTCCCAGGACAGAGAGGTTCTTGGGAGGGACTGTCTGTGGACTCTGCATGTGGGGGAGAGCTGTTACAGGCTGCCGGGGCGTCCATGGGAATGTGTATGGGGTCCCCTCAATTCTGTGGGCGTCTTCTGCCTCCACTCCTGAGATGCCTCAGCTGCGGGAGGCTCCTTCTTACCCGCCCTTCTCCAGGATGACCTTTCTCTCATAGTCTTTCAAGTACATTGGCAGCACTTTCTTCTGCTTCCCAGAGGCTGCTGCCTCCTGCTCGCTTTCCGACGATGAGGAGGACTCTGTAGACCCAGAAGGACACAGCTGCCACCACCCACAGCTCCCGCAGGACAGGGCCAGGCAGAGGATCCCAAATCTATCTACCACTTCCCCGCAGCAAGATGGCAGGGGACGGGGCGGGCTGCTGGGATCCTTCAGCCTGAAACAAGCTTCAAACAGCACCTGAGGTTTATCCTCAGCCCTGCCAGTTTCATAGAATCTGGCTAAATTACCCAGGCTGACCTTGAACTTGAGATCTTCCCGCCTCAGCCTCCCCCTGTGCTGGGGTTACAGGTGTCTACCACCTCCCTGCCTAACCTGCTAAGCACTTTTGCCATAAAACAACAGGTAAGGTGACAGGGAAGCCTCCGCCCCCGACCTGTTCTCTGGTAGAAGGTGGCATCTTTCTGATAAATACGGGGATCTTTCTTCTTCAACAAGGAGAGTGTCCTGTAAAAGTCACGCTCTTGCTGGGGGTCAAATTCCTAAAACAAGAAGAGGAGGGACAAACTTCAGAAGGGAGTTGACAACTACCTAGGTGGGAACAGAGGACAGCGTGCCACACGGGCAGGCGGCCCAGACGTTGTGGAAATCAGGTGGAGGAGAGCCTGTGTCACAGGCAGGACTAGCGGGGACAGGTGGGGGCGTCAGATGCAGCAAGGCCGGCGGGGCTTGGGATTTGGGGAGCTGAGAGCTTGGGGTTGGCCGCCCGCCTGCACATCAGGCCTGGGGGTCGGGTGGGAGGCTTGGACTCCGGGCCACGTCCGGATCCAGGGCGGGGATTCGTACCACGCGTTCGTCGCTGGAGTCGGACTCGGAGCTGGAGTCGCCCCCGCTGTCCGGGTCCCCATAGCGATCCTTCACTGTGGGGCACAGAAGGAATTTCCCCGGGTCAGACTTGGGGAACCGATCAGATCCCTCTAACTCCCCGACCATCCTCCCCGCGCACGCGCCCCGCACTCACGCCGCTGCAACTCCTCGCGTTCCCGGTAACGGCCATACCGCGCCGCAAAAGCCTTGTTCACTCGCAGAGGCGACGATCCGCGCGGTTCCGGCATGGCGCCTCTGAGGCCCACTGCGCACGCGCGCCACGGGACCTCCCCCGGAGGCGTGGCCTGACCCAGGCCCGCCCACCGCGGGTTTTAAAAGGGGCAGGCGCGCTCCGACGGTGCTTAGCCCCACCCCCGGTCCTTCCGGGATCCCGTTTCTCTTGTGACCCCCAATCCCCGCCCATAGGCTACGCCCATGCGGGGAAGGCCACAGCCACCGCCCACGTCCCCACCCTCGGGGCTCCGGGCACCCAGCTGACATCTGGGGGCCCTTTCTCCACTCGCGGTTTCCTGCCTCCTTTCCGTTCCGACAGAGCCAACCGCTGCCCCACCCAGCTCACTGGCCGTGTGCCCTGGGAACCAGAAGTCTGTCCCCTCCCCCACAGCATCCACGACCCGCGATCTCCGGGTTCATCTCCATCCAGGTCGCCCAGTGCCCCATCCCAGACTCACAAGTCAGAAGTCACTGGCGCAGTGAACATACACGTCTTAATTTAATGGGTAAAAACGTTAAATTATCACACACACAACAATTTTTTCCATAAAGCTTAATAAATAGAATCTCTTTTTTCAACGCTGTACAAGGGATTGGAAAACAAGCTTCCAAAAAATATGAATGAACTCATGTTACCCTTCAATTAATCTGAAATGCTTCCCCCTCCCCCCATGCCCAAAGCAGGGCGCACACGTCGGGACTCTGGAGCACAGCTGGCCAAGGGCACGAGGTTCCGGGAGCCCTGGTGGTGATGACCTCACTCCAGGGCTGGGGCTCTACACTCTGCCCTTGGCCACATCTGCAGCCCGGGGCCTGGGATGCAGAAGAAACTGAACCGTTTAGGTGGCTGTCTCCTATAGGAGTCCTTCTCTGTCCAACACACCAAAAGGGTGAGAAAACACACGAGAAACATCCCCCAATCACACACACCCCAAAAATCAACACCAATAAGCCACAAACTGGTCTTCCTCCCCTTCTTCAGCAAGGAAAGTGTTTTCTCCCCTCTTTTCTGCCAGACAAACCCGCAGGGCTCTCTGGCTGGAGGAGTTGCCCTGGGTCACAGTGGGATCACCTTGTGCCCCTGCAGGATGTCCATGAGGTCCTGAGCCCCCCTCTGCCGTGCCAGCTCCAGGGGTGTGAGCCCCGCAGCGTCCCTGTGATGGAGGTCAGACTCCGGAGCCAGGAAGCTGACCACCGCTGCATGGCCCTCGCGCACTGCCAGGTGGATGGGCAGTGCCCCGGTACCATCGGGAGCGTTGACATCAGCACTGTGCTCCACGAGGATCTTCACAGTGTCCAGAAATCCAGTGCGGGCTGCATCGTGGAGAGGACTGGTGCCAGAGGCGTCCTGGACATTGGGGCTGGCACCTTGTTTCAGGAGCTCCTGGGCGACGGCGAGGCTCCCGAACATCATCACCTACATAGGTAGACAGGATCGGAGAGCCCCGAGGAGGGAGGCTGAGCCAAGTGTTCATTGGAGAAACAAGGCTCTCCAAAAAGAGGGGTTTACTGGAAATGGTCACCTGTGGGGACACCCAGTGAACCAGAGTCCTGGAGAGCCGCTTCGCATCTGAGAGGTTCTAGAAACCTCCAAGAAGCTGGTCACTCCCTTAAATATACAAGACCCTACTGGAGAATAGTAACTCCTATGAAAAACTTTAAAGGAACTGAAACCCTCCCTTGGCCCCAGATACAGGGAATCACCAGGAAATCTGAACACCGTTCCAGGAAATGAACCTCCTCAGACTGAGCGCTGCCCCCAAAGCACCTGGGGTCCTCTCTGGGAACAGAAGACGCTCGGGGAATTTGCAACTCCTTTCTCTAAGGAAAAGCTGCTTCCTATATATAATGGGGCTCTCCTCAGGATACCTGAGCACCCCTCCTCTGTAAAGCACACCCCTCAAGGGCACAGGAGCCTCTCATCAGATCCTTTTCTCCACTGGTGTCTTCCAGAAGATGCCGAGAACCCGCACAACCCCCAGTAATGAAGGCCTCTCCCAAGTAACTCGTTATCCCAGAAATTGGGGTCTCCCCCGAAATAGACATGAATCCCCCTTAGAGAGTTAACAATTCCTCCTCCGGGAGCTGTCCCTTGTAGAAGCGGGACCGAGAAAAGCGAGCCCTCTCTCCCCGCCGCCATAAAATCTTCCCAAGCATGGGGGGGGGCACCGAACGTTTGCGGGGAACACGGCCCCCCACAACACGGGAAACAAGGGTCTGCGGAGGACGGGAAGCAGCGTTCCCCTCCCCCGCACCCCCCCACCCGCTTTAAGAAAGGGCGCCTCGGGGGACCACAGGAGCCCCGGGGAGGAGGCCGGGCGCCCGGGGAGTAGGGACCGGGCCGGGCAGGTCCCGGACCGGGCAGGTCCCGGGCGCGCGCGCTCACCTGCAGCGCCGTCTTGCCGAAGCGGTTCAGGGCGTCCGGGTGCACGAGCTCGCGGTGCAGCAGGCGGCGCACCTCCTGCACGTCGCCCCGGGCCGCGGCCCCACTCAGCCGGTCGCCGGCGCGGACCTCCTCCAGCAGCATGGTGACGCGGTGGCCTGCGGAGCCCCCGGCCCGCCCCGGGCGGTCAGCGCGCGCGGGGAGCGTACAGGGCCCAGCCCGAGGCGCCCTACCCGGCCCGGCCCGCGCTCCACCGCGACCCCACTGCCCGGCGACCCCCGCCCTCGCAGCCCGGCTCCTCCTCCTGTCAGCCAGGCCAGCAGGGACAGGGGCAGGGAAGCCCGCCCAACCCTCGTCGCCGGCCCGGCCCGGCCCGATACCCGCCCCTTGGGGGCCGGCTCTCCCCCGACTCACCCTCCCTCCTCCTCCTCCGCGGGCGGGGTCTGCTCTGAGCCTGCGCCGCCGCCGCCGCCTGGGAGTAGCGTCGGGGGGCGGAGCCAGCGCGCCCGCGGCCACGCCCCCGCCTTGTTTTCTTACAAACTCGAGACTTTGTAGCCCAGTCGCGTTTCGCAACCGGTGACACTACATTGCTCCGCCCATACAGTCGGCAGCAGCCAATGGGTGAGCGTTGCTGAGGAAGTTTTACGCTCCGGCGTGGGCGGTGCCGCTTCTGATTGGACAGAACGCGACGACCGGTGGACCGCCGGCAATGGCGGGGTTTTCGGTTTTTAAACCAGTCTGCCGGGCGGGAAAGGGAGAGTCTAACTGACCCACGGGAGAAAGGTCAGGGGACGGGGTAGCGCGGGCTACGCCGGGAGTTCGGCGTCTCCTGGGGGAAGGGAGTCAGGGCCGGGGATTCCCACTCCGGGGATCTGTTATTCACTCAACCTACGAGCTTTTATTAGCCCGTAGGATGCGCTGGGCGCGTTATGCCATTCATCTCCCCTCGCGCCCGGAGCCCACATCCACGCGACGAGGTCAGTTAGGCGGCGTGAAGCGCCACGGAAATGGGGAAGTGGGGCGCCTGAGAAAGGGATGGAGCTCGGGCTCGCGCGGAACCCGCCCTGGCTGGGAGGAAAGTCGAACGTAGAGCCGCCGCGTGGACGCGGGATGCTGCTGCACAATTTCATGCAGCGCCGCCGGGGGGCGTCCGACTGCAGAGCCGGGCCATGGGGGCAAAAACCTAAACTTCTGCCAAGTGATAAATGGCTGATAGTACAGGTGCCATCGATACCCGAGATTACAGGAAGGCCGCCCTGAGGGGTGACTTCTGAGATCTGAAGGTGAGGCAGGGAGCCTGTGCTTATCTGGGAAGGAAAGGCCAGGCTGCTGCACCTGTAAAGGCCCTGTGGTAGCAATAAGCCTGGCACGATAGAGGGGGTGTGGAAGGAGAGGGCAAAAGGTATGGGAGTACAGTGGGGTTGTGCCGATCCTGGGCCAGTGGGCTGCGACGAGTTTCACTTTTCATCGGATGGGAACCACCACGGGAGGATTTTAAACAGAGGACTTGGTCTACTGTACTATATTACTAGTTAGGGCGCCCCCTAGCGGCCATGGGGGAACAGTGTGGCGGGGAAGCGGCGGCTGGAGATTCCAGCAGGTAGACACCGGCCCTTAGCCCAGGGCCCGCAGAGGAGCTCCGGAGGGATGTCCCTGGCGGCCCCAGCCCCAGCCCAGGACACATTCAGAGTCTCCAGATTCATCGTTTTACTGACGCCCGAAAACAGGCTGGCTCGGCGGCCCTAACAGCGGAGGGCCAGGCCCCAAGGCAGCCACTGCGGGAAGGCACTCTGGGGTTTCTTCATGTAAAGTGGGGCTGGAGCCCCAAGAGCGAGGGAGCCAACGGCCATGTGCCCGGCCCACGGGGAGAGCACACACAGGAGGAGGGCCAGCGGTGAGGAGGGAGCCGCTGGGGGCAGCTGCCCAAATAGGGCACCACGCATGCACGCACGCACGTCCTGTGGCCCAGGGAGAGAGGAGCCCATGTATGTTCCCGGCCGACTCCTTGTGCCTTCTAGCTGGTCCGAAGTTGGTAATCTGGAGGGAAAAAATCAAGGAGCAGGAACCACGTTAGAACTGCGGGGAGGATGGCCGGGGATGTAGCTCAGCAGGTCGTGAGTTCAATCCCCGGTACCCGGGGGGCGGGGGGATTTAAGGGGGAAGAAAAAGGGGTTCCCCAAACACCAAATCATCTCCTGCCCAAGCCATCATAAGCACCCCTTGCAGTATTTGACAAAGTGCAACTGAGCATTGTGGCACATGCCAGTGATCCTGGCACTCAGCAGGCTGAGGCAGGAGGATCTCTGCCCAGTTGGAGGCCATCCTGAACTACATCGCGGTGTCTATCCTAAAAATAAATTTAAAAAATAATACAAAGGGCTGAGGGTGTAGCTTAGCGCAAGACCCTGGGTTCAACCCCAAACACCAAAACAAACAAGCAGTCCTCACTTTGAGGTGAGACACGGGTGCCATAACCTGGCAGCAAGCTGGTTTCCAGGCACCAGGTGAGGATGCCGCGAATCCAGACTCTGGGAGGTGGGCTGGGGTTTGTTTTGTTTTGTTCTGAGATAGAGTCTCATTAAAGTAAGACTTCACATCGGCCTTGCACTCAGTGTGTAACCTGCGAGGGGAGGCCTTGAACTCAAGGCAGTCTTGCCTCGGCCTCCCGGCTGCTGGTACTGCCGGGCTCGGTACCGCCGTGCCTGGCCGAATCCAGCCTTTTTTTTTATCCAGGCCTCCGGGCCGCCCTGGAGTGCATCATGGACCCATTTTAAAGATGTGCAAACTGGGGCTCAGGACATGTGACAAGGAGTTTCAGAAGCGTCCTGCCCGGAGCTCACAGTGAGCTCCCCGGCTCTGCCTCCCGCCCTGCATCGCGTCCCCAGTCAGGTCTGACCTCCACTCTGGGTGATGTAGCGGACCCAGGGCAGGGCCTGGTAACCACTCTTCTCTATGATCTTCATGTAGCGCACCTGCAAGGACAGAGAGAGGTGACCCGGGCCTGGGAGGTGAGGGGCTGGAGCCAAGGCACGGAGCACCACCAGCCCGCCTCCGTGGGCCTCACCTGGATGCCGGAGACCGTGAAGTAGGGGATCTCAAACCTGACCCCGATGGGGGGCCGGCCCTCCACCTCCTCCTTCTCCACACTGGGGAGGCCAAAGTGGGCCCGCATCAGGTACTCTTTGCCACCCTGAGGATGGATGGGGCCATCAGGCTGCCGGGTCCCAATCCACCCAGGTATCCCAGACCTATTGCACAGACGGGAAGGGTCAAGGCTGCAGGTGAGGACACACAGTTGGAAATGGGGGGGAGGCTGGGAGTCACCATCTCCGGGCCTCAGTCCCCACCCGGCTCAGCCAGTGACAGGACAGAGACATTGCACTCTTCGGTGGCAGGTATCAGTGCCCCATAATGTAACTAGGGTGGTAGGGGGAGGGGAAGGCAGGTCTGGGGAAGGTTTGAGGCCAGCCTGGGGAACTTAGCAAGACCCAAAATCCAACAAAACAAAGCAAAACAAAAAATCCAGGTGTGGTGCCACAAACCTGTAATCCCAGCACTCTGGGAGACTGAGGCAGGAAGATCAAAAGTTCACGCGTGAGCCTGGGGTTTGGCTCAGCAGCACAAATGCTTGCCTGGCAAGCACAAGGTTGTGAGTTCGATCCCCAGTGCCAAAAAAAAAAAAAAAAAAAAATTTCATCACAGGGGTAGGCAGCTTTCATATTCAGCAAGACTGTACTCCCAAAAAACAAAAACTCCCCAGAAAACCAGGCATGATGGTGTACAGCTTTAATCTCAGAACCCTGGGAGGCTGAGGCAAGATAATTTCCAGACCAGCCTGGGCACAAATGAAACAAAAAACCAGAGGCCCAAGGATGTGAAGAGATCCTCCAGTCCATTTCACAGACCAATAAACTGAGTGTGAAGTCAGATGGGTTTCCCACAAACCTCAGAAAAGCAAGCATAGCCTCGTGTTAGAGGCACACACATAAAATGCTAGCCCCAGGAGGCTGAGGCAGGAGGTTCACCGTGAGTTGGATGCCAGCCTGGCCCATATACTGAGTTCAAGACCAGCCTGAGCACTCTGACACAGTGAGACCCTGTCCCAAAACACTAAAGAGAGAGAGAGGGAGGAGGAGAAGGGAGAAAGGACACAAGAAAGGGAGGGTAAAAATTTGAACCTTGTATCAGTTTCCGGAAGTGACCTGTCCCCTCCAGCCCGGGTCAACTGCACAGGGCCCAGCGCCAGCTGTGCCTTCCCTGCAGGTCCCCGCTGTGCCCGGCACTCACCGGGAAGGATTTAATACTCCAGATAACCACGTTCTTCTCGGGCACATACTTGGCGCTGCCCACACTGGTCTTAAAGCGTGGGGAGTCAGCATCACTGGGGACAGGAATGGAAATCTCCACGCCGTTGGCCACAGACTGCTTCTTAAATTGCCCCTTAGCCTGTCAGGGAGAGAGCGTGGGTGTGAGGAATTCCCTCAGGAACTGCCAAGGGAATGCATGCCTGTAACCTCAGAGTCGGAAGGCTGAGGCAGGAGGATCGCCTTGAGTTCCAGTTCATCCTGGGCTACATAGCGAAACCCCTTTCTCAAAAAAGAGAAGAGCAGAGTATTCAGGGCAACTGGAATGGCAGGTGCAAAGGTCCTGAGGTCATCATGTGTGGTGGTCAGCCCCGTGTGATGTCGCACCTTGACCATGATCTCCACTCGGCTGTGGGAGAACTTCTCGATGACAGACTCGATCCAGATGAGTGGCTTGACCTGCGTACATATGACAGGGACAGTGCTCCGGGGTCCTGGCAACCCTCTGCTCTCCCCGCACCCGCCCAGCTTGCGGCACCTGCGTGCTGAGCCGGTAGGACATGAGCTCAAAGTCGCCATCTGGCGGGATGAAGGAGATGGTGCGGTCGTTGTCAAAGCGCGACAGCCGCACGCATTGGTGGAATTTCACGTCCTCCAGCTCTACGGACTTGTTCTTGCTGCCTGAAACTCAGAGCCCAGGCGCCGGTCACCCTGGGGGCCGGGAAGGGGTCCCTGTCCCCACCTGTCCGCCTGCAACCACCATCACCCTGATTTGATGGGGGAGGTGACCAAGCAGCCACATCGACTGGGGCAGGGCTGGCTATCAAATCACTCAGGTTAGGCTGAAACCTGCGATCCTCCTGCTCAGCCTCCAGCTAGACCAGATGGGGGCCACCACATCCGGCTTCATTTCCTTTTTTTCTGTCCTGGGGATTAAAGCCAAGACCTTTGCACTGAACTGCACCTGCAGCATCCTCCCCCACTGCTTTTCTGTTTTCTTTGTTTTGTGAATTTTTTTCAGTAGTTTTTATCAATGGCTTTTTTTTTTTTTTTTTTTTGGTGCTGGGGATAGGACTGACACCCTAGAGTTTATCAAGCAGGCACTTAACGACCCTGAGCTAAAACCCCCAGCCCCTTGTTTTGTTTTTTGAAACAGGGTTTCACTACATAGTTCAGACTGACCTTGGCTAAACTCACAACGATCCTCCTGCTTCAGCCTCCCCAGTGCTGGGATGACACCATACCAGGTAGGGGAGGGGAGTATCAGAAACCGAACTCAGGATCTCACGCTTATCAGGCAGGCGCTGTGCCATGAGCTAAATCCCCAGCCCCTGGATTTATTTATTTTTTGTCTTTTTGAGACAGGGTCCCACTGTGCAGGTCAGGCTGCCCATGGGCTCCCTTCATGGCCCAGGCTGGTTTCCAACTCCTAACAGTCTTCCTGCCTCGGCCTCCCGAGTGCTATGATTACAGAGGTGCGCCACTACACCCAGTTGTGTGCTGTTACCTTTGAAGTTTTGTGTATGTAATGTCTCACACAATAGGGGTGACACTTTTTCTCAAGGGCTAGATACACACTTTGCGATCACCGGAAACAGTTGAACAGTTGATCACTGTTATTCCCGGCTCTGTGATGGCTTGTGTGTTTTCAGCTTACACTCCTACCTGGTCAGCTCCTTCCCTTACAGACTTTCTCTGTTTTCCAAGCCTCCAAGCGTTTACTGCGGAGGAGGACAGAGCAGGGGCTCCGGGAATGCCAGCCTCACTGACCAGGACACTCGGCATTTCCAGTGATGTTTAGTCTTGTAGATCCTTGGTTCTGTAATACCCTGTCAGTAGCATTTTCTGTTTCCAGTTTTGTTTCTGAGACAAGGTCTCACTATTCAGTTCAAGCTGGCCTCGAACTCGCAGCGATCCTCCTGCCTCAGCCTCCCGAGCGAGGGATCCTAGGTGTGCACCACCACGCCTTAAGGGGTTGGGGTGTAGCTCAGTGGCAGAGCCCTTGCATAGCACGCATCAGCCCGTGGGTTTGATCCCCAGAACCGCAGAAGAAAACAACAAAGGAAACACGATTGTATCTCCTCCTTCTGGGAAATGTCAAGGCCACGGCCTGAGATCAGACAGCAAAGCCGGAAACGCTTTGCCAGGTGAACCTGCAGCTGCAGTCCCGCGCGTCACCAGCAGAGGGCGCTGAGACACTCAGAACTGGCTGCGACGGCCCGGGACCGCGCACCTGGGGGACAGGGGGACCCCAAGTCTTACGGCCAGTGAGCTCAAACAGCACGCGGTCGTTGAGGCCCAGCCGCAGTTCCGGCATCCCCGACAGGAACACCTTGAGCTTGATGCTGCCCACGATCTCGCTGAGCAGCACGCTGCCATTGGCATTGACCTGGGGGACGGGCAGGCCGTCAGGGGGCGCGGCGGGGCCCCCTCTCCGGCCCCAGGCCCTGGGGCGTCGCTCACCAGCAGGTTGACGGACTCTATGACATCGATGAAAACCTCGTTCTTCTTGTACTTGATGCCCTCCGAGCGCCAAGACACGGCGTTGGTGACGGTGGGGGGCACCCTGGACTTGCCCGTCTCCAGCTTGTTGCCCTGCTGGGTGATGTACCTGCAGGAGGACACCGGGCCAGCTGGGGCCGGGGAGCCCCCCGCCGCCCCGCCGTGCCGTACCCGCCACGGGCCCCACTCACTCCTGCAGGATCTTGCTGTCTGTCGTCTGCGGGAAGCCGAAGTCCATGAGCTCGTCTAACAGCTCGTACACGATGACAAAGTTGTCCCTGATACTTTCCTCCTCCAGCTCCTTGAAGTACTCGCAGAAGACCTGGCATGGGGCAACGGGGCACCCACATGGGTATCGCTACAGCCACAGGCCACCCCAAAACAGCACCCCCGTAAGCTGCCCTGGCTGGCCTCAAACGTGTGATCCTCCTGCCTCAGCCTCCTGAATGCTGGGATTACAAGCATGTGCCACCTCACCCGGCTCGTCGCCATTCCTTAAACAATACTGCGTGTTGGCTAGTGACATGGCTTTTACACTGTACTGAGCACTATAATTCATTCAGAGAGGATTTCAGATCTACAAGAGTATGCAAACAGGATCAATGCACATTCTGCGTTGTTTTTATTTTAGACTTTGACTATCAGGGATACCAAGGGACACTTTTTTTTCTTTTCTTTGAGATAGTGTCTCACTATGTAAGCCAGGTTGGCCTTGAACTTGCAGCAATCCTCCTGCCTCAGCCTCCTTGGGATCTCCTAACACAGGAACTGGGGCTTGCATGCAGGGGCACAGGCTGATGATACTCAGCCAAGTGCAAGCAAAGTCAGGGCCGGCATCCTGAGAGAAGCAGCTCCTAAAGAGGTGGGTGCTTCGGGAAGACTGACAGACGAGCTGGCCAATGAGAGGCCAGTACCCACCTCCACCGTCTTGTAGAGGAAGGAGTAGACCAGCGAGGCATTGGCGTTCTTCAGGGTGGTGGCCACCACTGCGTGGCAAGGTCAAGGACAATGTGCCATTCTGAGGACTCCAGCGGAGTACAGACCCCGAAGTGCCACCACCCCAGCTTTATTTTGAGAGGATGTCTCACTACGGAGCCCAGGAGGGCCTAGAGCTCGCAGGGATCCTCCTGCCTCAGCCTCCCAAGTGCTGGGATGACAGACGTGCGCAGCCACGTCCGGCCAACACCTGCCTCTCTAACCTCACCCAGGCACCACAGTCTGAGTCGCTGCAGCCCCCAGTGCTGTGCGACTCCAGATCTCGGCCCATCCTCTCTGGGCCTCAGTTTCCCCTGCCGTCGCCCCGCGCCCCGGGGAGCAGCCTGTGCAGATGCAGTAGAGGTTGCTGTGTTTGATCCACAGGAAGTGCACGCGGCCGTGGCTCAGCAGCGGTGCCAGCGCCCCCTCCTCCTCGCGCTGCATGAGCAGCGGCATGAAGTGGTCGATCTCGCTCATGGCCACATCACCCTTGTAGTTCCGGCTGATCAGGGGCTGGGGGTAGACAAAGGATCCAGTCACCGTGGGGATCTTGGGGTCCCATCTTGCTGGGGTCCAGTTCGGATTGGATTTCCCAGCTGTGAGACCTGGCCAAGGCTCTCCTTTTATGGGCATGTGATAGCGACAGGTAGTGAGCCACAGGGCTGACTGAGGCCCAGCACTGTTTCTACTAAAGTTTGCATGCAGCGTGTCAAGGGGGTACAGGCCTTTAACCCCAGTAACTCTGGAGGCTGAGGCAGGAAGATGACAAATTTGAGCCCACACAAGCCAAGAACCTGTCTCAACTAAATTAGAGGTGGGGAAGAGGTGGGCAGGATCTCACTATGTATCCTAAGCTGGCCTGGAGCTCATGGGATCCTCCTGTCTCAGCCGCCTGAGGGCTGGAATTACAGGTGTGCATCACCACAGCTGGCTACAATTCCTGCTCTTGTCCACGGCTTTAATATGTCTCAGACACATGAGGTTGGAGTTACTTGGCGGCTTTGTTGTTGGTTTTGTTTTGTGATAGGGTCTCACTATATAGCCCAGGCTGACCTTGAACTCTTGGGCTCCGGGAATCCTCCTGCCTGAGCCTCTGGACTAGAGGTTCCTCGCTAGGTTCTCCTTATTATTGTTAGCAGGGCTACTGTTTGCACCAACACCGCTGTGAAAGCCAATAAACGAAGAGGCCATGCATGTCCACAGAGGAATTAAGGCCTCCTGCCCCTGTGTTGGTGGAAATACTGATTAATTATTAATGGATTTATTTGGTTCCCTGCTAGGATTCCAATCCAGTGTCTTCACACTGAGGTCCATCCCAGACTATTCTTAATTTTTTTTTTTTTTTAACTTTGAGACGGTCACTCTGCTGCTCAGGCAGCGGTTCAGCTCGTCGATCCTCCTGCCTTGGCCTCCCGGCGCGCCGGGGCTGCAGGCCTGGGTGCCACCGTGCAAAGCACCTCAGTTGCAGAACCCAGCAGCGGCCACCTGCTGAGACACTGAGGCTGGGGGGACAGAGAAGCCCCTTCCCCGGGGCGCAAGACCGGTGTGAGGTGGGGGGGGTTGGCCTGGGATTGGGAAGGTGGGGAGGGGCGGGGTGGGAGGGGAGGGGGCGGGGCCGTCACACGCCACTCTGCGGGGTTTCCGGGGCTGCGCGGAGGGGCTCACCGGTGCCCTCCCTCACCCCCGGCCCTGCCCCCGGCCTCACCTTGCCCTTGACGTCGAGGATGAACACGGCCGAGGCCGACATGGTGGCACCGGGACCGGCGGCGGGAGGGGCGGCTTCCTCCTTCCTGCGGAAGCGCCCGCGCCCAGGTGCGCGCCCAGGTGAGCGCGGGAGGGGCGGCGCCAGGTGCGCGGCGGGGGCGGGGCCGGCGCGGAGGGCGCCACCTGGGACGCGCCGCGCGCCACCTGCCTTCCGGAGGCCCCGCCCACCCGGCCCCGCGTCCGCTGGCCGGCTCTAACTTGGAGACCGACCGTCTGGCCTGCAGCTCGCGGCGATGCTCCTGCCTCGGCCTCCTCGGTGCTGGGATTACAGGGTGTGCGTTACCGCAGCAAATTGTAGACCTGGTAATAGCACCTTCATGCACTCATTCGGAAACACTGGGCTGGGGTTACAGGTCCGCGGTAGTGACAGGGTCGGAGGCCCCCTAAGGGACAAAAGTCAAACTCCTGGCAACTAATCCGTTATCATGGGAAGTCTGATTTGCCTGAGGGCCCCGGCGCCGGTCTGTAATCCCAGCACTTGGAAGGCTGAGGCAGGAGGACCGCTGCGAGTTCAAGGCGAGCCTGAACTGCATAGTGTCTCAAAAAGACAAAATAAATAAATAAATAAATAAAACCCGAAAAACCTCGCCGGGCAGGGGAGAGGCGATATCGTGATCCCAAAGATGGTTTTCCCAGGCGTGGCACTCTGGAGTTGCTGACACCTGCGATTTCCCCAAATGTGGGAAACGCTACCGCATAATTTGTGGTAGTGGGGGACTGCGTTCGCACTCTCCCTGGGGGAAAAAAAAAAAAAAAAAGAAGTTTGATTTGTGTTCTGAGGCAGCCAGCGACTTCAGGGTGGATTTTTGCTTTAAACTTTTCACCCAATGAAACAGCCAAAAAACAAAAAAAAGAGGGGGGGCTGGGATTTAGCTCAGCGGCATAAGCACCTGCCTTGCAAGTGTGCGGTCGTGAGTTCGATCTCCGGTACCAATAAAAAGGAAAAAGACAAAAAAAAAAAAAAAAAAAGTTTCACCCGAGGCTGAACACCTGTCGTCCTAGCCTTCTGGAGGCTGAGGCAGGAAGATTGCAAATTCAACCCCAGCCCTGGCAATGCGCCATTTAGAAAGATCCTAGTTTAAAAAAACAAAACGGTTTAAAAAGGGTTGCAGTTGTGGCTCAGTGTCAAGTACAAGGGTACTGAGATCAGCAAAACAGAACAACCTGAAGTGACCGGCTGGGAGGGGGCGGAGTCCTGAGAAATTCAGCAGGCTGCGGGAACAGTGATTTCCTGTCACTCTGCTGGGGAGCAGGAGCTGCCGTGGTGGGAGTCACAGGGCCCCTCGCTGGGAATTTCTTCTGTATCTTTGAGAGCCGAGAGAATTGAAGGGGAGGGCTCTGTGCAGGCCCCAGGCGCAAAACGGCCGCTAGGTTTTGTTGTTGTTGTTTTATGTTTTATTTTATTTTATTTATTATTTACAAGGGTTCTGGGGAATTGAACCCAGGGCCTTTTTACGGAACTATATCCCCAACAAGCTTTTATTTTGTTTTGGTTTTTTTTTTTTTTTTGTCTTTTTCATTTTTATCGGTACCAGGGATCAAACTCACAACTGCCTGCTTGCAAGGCAGGTGCTTATGCCGCTGAGCTAAATCACCAGCCCCCCCAACAAGCTTTTAAAAAAATTTTTTTTAAATTTCACTGAATTGCACAGGTTGGGCTCCAACTGGGGATCTTCCTGCCTCAGCCTTCCAGAGTGCTGGGGTCACACACCTGGCTGGATTTCTAGGCTGTTAACTGTAGACTGATGGGGGGGGGGTGAGCCTCAGCCCAGGCCTGATGCGGTCCCTCCAGGACTGACACTGGTGCACCCTGGCCCCTCTCATCTCTTTCCCCAGGCCAGCTCTGACCTTTACAGCGCCTGGGGTTAGGACTGGAGAGGGAGAGAGAAACCCCTGTCAGAGCCCAGAGTTCCTCTCTTCATGCCGCTAGGAGGCACAAGGTCCTGAGTTTGATTTCTGGTGCCCCCCCATTATTCCCAAGAAAAAGACCCTGGACTGTGGGTAAACCTCAGTGGTAGAGCTTGTGGCTGGGCCTCGGCTCCTCACCGCCAAATATGCTATTTTATTTCTATTTTTATTTTTGTCTTTTTTGAGACAGGGTCTCGCTGTGCAGCTCAGGCTGGCCTTGAGCTTACTTTGTAACCCAGGCTGGTCTCAAACTTGCAATGATCCTCCTGACTCAGCCTCCCCAGGGCTGGGATAACAAGGCGTGAGCCACCACGCGGGGCTCTAATACAACTATTTTATAGGTAGCTAAGCTATTTGGAGCTAATGTAGGCAGACAGGGCTGGGCTTTCAGAAGGGTCAGGGTAACAGACAGCTGTGGCTGGAGGGGCATTCACTGCAGCCCAGGCTTCAAGAACAGGGAACTGACCGCACCCACATGCTTTCCCTGGGGGTGAACAGTAGTGATGCACATTCTAAATGCATGTCACCACCTGGGGTGGGGACCAAAGCCTCCTTACCCATCCCTTCCGGGAAAGTCCGGTCCGCCTCCTGCATGTTTGCTGTGTGACTTGCTCCCGGTTTGATCAATGTTACCCCAGTGACTGTGCTTGTAATCTTACGGATTGATTATAATTCTGTCCCACCTGGAGCCCCCCTCACTTCCTGGCCCCGCTCAAAAAAATGTCTTTGAGAGCCGGGCGTGGTAGCTCACCCCTGTAATCCCAGCACTCGGAGGCTGAGGTGGGAGGATTGTTGTGAGTTCGAGACCAGCCTGGGGTACAAATGAGCTCAAGGCCAGCCTGAACTGCATAGCGAGATCCTGTCTCAAAAACACCAAAAAAAAAAAGCTGTCCTGGAGAAGCGGGGTTGGTGGTGGGTACCCCACTTTCCTTCCGGGCCCCCTTCAGTGCCTCTTCCACAGACGCTTTCTTTCTGTCAAATTCTTCCTACTCTTAACCTCTGTTGTGCTTAGAACTCATTCCTCAGTTTTAGAGAATGAGAACGCAGTGTTTCCGACATCTAGCAGGTTAGGGGGTGTAATATTGCCCTTAAATTATTTGGAGGTCCGTATATCAACCTTCTATCACAGACCCTATATCTCTGACTTTTTGTTTTTAAAACAGGTTCTCAAATCTCTGTTCAAACTGGCCTTAAACTCACTAGGTAGGGCCGGGGATATAGCTCAGCGACAGCACCTGCCTGGCAAGCATGAGGTCCTGAGTTCGATTCCTGGTACCTAAAAAGCCCTTGCTGTGTAGCCCAGGGTAGCCTCCCCCTCACATCAATCCTCCTGCCTCAGCCTCCTGACTGCTGAGTATGCCACCATGCACAGCACTAGTATTTTTTTCCAAGAACTATATTGCTACCAGGAAATGAACTCAGGACCTCGAACTTGCCAGGGTGGTGCTGTGCCACTGAGCTATGCCCCCACCTCTCTAGTATTGCTATTATAAATTCTTGGGGAGCAGTCCTGGAAGCCCTCCTCTGGGAGTCTTTTTTTTTTTTTTTTTGGTACCAGGGATGGAACTCATGACTGCCTACTTGCAAGGCAGGCGCTTATGCCGCTGAGCTAAATCCTCAGCCCCTCCTCTGGGAGTCTTAACAAGATGTGAATACAGTGAATGCTGGTTTCCATCCCACAGAAGGCAGCTTGTAAACACATGGCAATGTCCTCACCCACAGTGTCACTGGAATCCATTCAGGACCCAAGGCCAGGGCGGCACAACCCAACAGCTGACTTTCTCAAACACAGGCTGAAAATCTCAGCCCTTTTTTTTTTTTTTTTGGTACTAGGAATCGAACTCAGGACCTTGTGCTAGCCACCCAGAACTGTGTCACTGAGGTATATCCCTGGCTTTATTTCTTTTTCTTTTTGTTCTTTTTTTTTTTTTTTCTGTCTTTTTGAGACAGGCTCTCATCATGTAGTTGAGACATGAACAGTCCTTGGGCTCACTTTGTAGCCCAGGCTGGTCTCGAACTTGCAAATGGTTCTCCCGCTTCAGCCTCCCAAATGCTGGGATGACAGGCATGGGCCACCATGCCTGGCTTTCCTGGCTTTATTTCTTATTTTTACACAATGTCTCATTAAGTTGCCCAGGCTGGTTTTGAGCTTCGGGTCCTCCTGCCTCAGCCTCCAGAGCAGATGGGATTCCATGCTTGTAGTACCAGCATTGACTATTATGTTCACTTGACAGATTGGGAAACTGAGGCTCCACTCAGAAACGGTGGGAGATTTGCACAGTTACCCAGCGGGGCAGACTGGGGATTCGAATCCTGCCACGCAGGAGACTTTACGCTGCCTTGTCCCCAAGATGTGGGAGGAGGGTCCTTTGCTCAGAGGGTGACCAGAGTGCCAGGCATCATGCAGCAGCCCTGTCATTCCAGCCCTGGGGAGGCTGAGTCAGGAGAATCTCTGTGAATTCAAGGCCACCCAGTTCAAGGTTATACACCGAAACTCTGTCTCAAAGGGAAAAAAGGAAAGAAAGGTGACCAGGGCGCACAGGCCAGTCCAGGTGCTCCCTCAGGCCAGGCTTCCCAGAAACCTGGGAGAATCCCCCTCCCGGGGAGCTGAGCTGTTTTCTGACAGTAAATAGAACCCAAAGCCCAACCCAGTGCCCTGGAATCTGACACCCCAGGCTTGTTTGGCTGAAAAATTCATGAGCTCAAACCTCACTGTGGGGTCAGGGAACAGAGGGCCTTTGTGTTCCACCCTGCTGGCCTTCCTGGAGCAGACACCCCTGTCCCTGGGGGCAGCCGCCTGGACTCGGTTCTTCTTAGTGCCCACATTCCGCCTCCTCCTGGGCCCCCCACCAAGTCCCTTCTCCTTCTGCCCCCAGCTGACCAGACGGTCTCTTTAAAACTCAGCCACCCGGCCCTCCCTTATGCTCATGCCCGCCATGGCTCCCGTGGCCCTCTAGCTGCTGGACCCAGCTGACCCCCATACTAGGGCACCGCCGGAACCACTTGTCCCAGACAGCCACTTCTCTAATTCTGGTTCCTGTCTGTCTTTCTCTTTGTCACTTGATCTCTTGCAGAACTCTCATCCGGTCTGGCTTTCTCTGACTTTGTACCCTGTGTGTATGGCAGCTCCGCCCTCCAGAACTTTCTATTATTATTTGCATGTTTGTCTTTTGAGACAGGGTCCTGCAGTGTAGCCCAGACTGCCCTCAAACTCATGGTGATCTTCCTGCCTCAGCCTCCCAAGTGTTGGAATTACAGGCCTTTGCCACTGTGCACAGCTAATTCTGCTTTTGAAACAGTTTTAATTCCCCAAGGAATACATGACTACTTTGCCATGGCATAGGAAAGGCAATGGGGAGTAGGTTAAGAGGGACACATTATAGAGGAGAAAACAAAGTCTAGCATGGCAGGGCATACCTGAAACCCCAGCACTCAGGAGGCTGAGGCAGGAGGGTCGCTGCAAGTCTGAAGTCAGCTTGGGCTACAGAGTTCAAGGCCAGCCTGAACTGCAGAGTAACAAAATAAAGTAAAATAAAATAAAATAGAGGCTGGGGATGTGAGAAAAAAAAGAGAAGCTGGCCAGGGAGGAATAAGCTTGTAATTCAGCACTCTGGGAAGCTGAGGCAGGGGGACTGAGGTGAGCTTGCGCAATTTAGTGACCTAGATTCCGTCTCAAAAAAAAAAAAAATTAAAAATGGGCTGCAGGGGCTGGGGGTTTAGCTCAGCGGCATAAGCGCCTGCCTTGCAAGCAGGCGGTTGTGAGTTCCATCCCCGGTACCGATAAAAATGAAAAAGACAAAAAAAAAAGGGCTGCAGACGTAGCTCAGTGCAAAGACCCTGAGTTTGATCCCCAGCACTGAAAGGGGAAGACAGAAAGGGAAAAAGGAAAAGCAGAAAGAGAAAGAAAGAAAGAGACAAAGAAAGAAAGAGAGAGACAAAGAAAGAAAGAAAGAAAGAAAGAAAGAAAGAAAGAAAGAAAGAAAGAAAGAAAGAAAAAAAGAAAGAGCCCCGTGTCAGCCTGCAGGTAACCACTGGGCACTCAGGTTTTTGCTCTGTTTTGTTACAGCCTGCCGTGCGGCACATGGTGTCACCTCTCCCCCACTGGCACATTTCAGTTCCTCCTAGTGCGTCACCCTCCCATCGCTTGCAGCCAGGCCTGGGAGTACCCAGAAAGCTGAGGCAGGAGGGTTTAAAATGGGAAGTTCAAAGCCAGCCTGACTGTGTGGGGAGAAGCTATCTCAAGACAGCAACAGAAGACTGACAAACAAATTCCTGCTACTTGTACTGGACAATATAAACTGGAAGCCTGCTGTGGTGGCCTGTGCCTGTCATTCCTGTACTCTAGGAGGCTGAGGCAGGAGAGTCACCATGCATTTGAGGCCAGGTTGGGCTCCATAGTGAGTTCAAGCCCACCCTGAAGTACAGAGTGAGACCCTGTCTCAATAAAAAAAAAAAATTAAATTAAAAGTTTTTTTTAAAAAGTTGGAATCCTAGCAGGCACTAGTTGGGACTGAAGATGTGTGTGGGTTGTATCATGACCAGAGTCCAGCTGGACCTGGTGGCTCATACCTGTCATCCCAGCACTCAGGAGGCTGAGTCAGGAGGATGTGTGTGAATTTGAGGCCAACCTGGACTACACAGAGAATTCAAGGCCAACCTGGGCTGCAAACCAGATTTTGTCTCAAAAAAACAAAACAAAATTAACACAAAAAACAGACTCCATGCATTCAAGTCTGTGTTTGGTCTAATTGCTTTGTGCTTCTTGATAAATCCCTTACTCTGTCTGGGTCACTTTCTCATATAGAAAAGCAGTTATCATGATTTTTTGTTTGCTTGTTTGAGACAGGATCTCACTTTGGTTCAGGCTGGTCTTCAGCTCACTTTGTAAAACCAGGCTGGTCTCAAACTCTGGATCCTCCTGCCTCAGCCTCCCATATGCTTGCATTACGGACCTGTGCCACCACACCCGGCAGTTATAGCAATTAAATATGCAGCATTTAACACCTTCCCTGAGGCCAAGTAAGCTTTCCATGAACAGTCTTAGGATAGCCTGCCATGCCTCCTTTCGCTGTTTTTGGGGTTTTGGGAGCTGAACCCAGGGCCTTGCACTAGCAGCCAGATGCTCACCCCAGCTCTTTTTTTTTTTTTTTGTTCCAGCTCTTTTTTGAATTTTTAACTTTTTTGTTGTTGTTGTTTTTTAAACATACACGCTGAGAAAGGGTAAGAGTAAAGTTTCACACTGAAGCCACCTGTTTACCCACAATTCTTTTTTAGTACCCCGGAAACCACACTCCCTGTCACTTCCGGCTCAAAACAAGCACTGCCCCCCCCCCCAGGTTGATTAGCCATGCCTGCTCTGGGGTTTGCTTTAAACAGTCTTACTGTGTAGCCCAGGCTGGCCTCGCACTCACAGAGATCCTCCTGCCTCAGCTTCTAGAGCGCTAGGATCATAGGCAACTACCACCACTCATGATTACTGTTAGTTTCCTTTAATCTTTTAAATTTCTATTTTTAGCTGGGTATGGTAGAAAACGCCTGTAATCCCACCACTCTGTAGGCTAAATAGGAGGATGGCTGTGAGTTTGTGACCATCCTGGGCTACTTAGTGAGTTTAGGGCCTGAGTTCGTTGAGTCCTGGGTTCACCGAGGTTTTAATTTGTGTTATTCGACTGATTTCATTATCCCAAGGGTCTTTTTTATTTGGGTTTGTTCTGTTGTACTAGGTTCAGTATGTGGCCCAGGTGGCTCCGGAGACCTTCCTGCTTCAGCCACCAGAGTGGCTATAATTACAGGCATGCAGTGCTATCCAGAGCAACTAGATTCTTTTCATCCACTGCGTGTTGTTACGTCTTGTATCCACTGCCCTGTGGGTAGACCTGTACATTTCCACCCATTTTTCACAATAACAGTCGGGCCGTAGCTGACACTGGGACATAAGCGTCACGCAGTTGTTCACTGACACAGTTGCGCTCATGTTTGATGAATACACGAATGAATAAATGGGTGAATGAAGGGACGAAGGATAAGCCCCATCACACCGCCCGAAAGATTTGCCTGAGCGCAGCCTGGAAACAAAGGTAATGGCTCCACCCATCCCGGGCTGGCCCCGCCCCTTTCCCCGCCCCCTGACCCAGCAAGGCTCCCATTGGAGGGGGATTGCGGGGGCTGGCGGGGAGGGCGGGGACGTGGGCGGGGACGTGGGCGGGGCCAGGCGGGGCGCCGCAGTCCGTAGCCTCCCGCCCGCTCGGGCTGGGGTCGCGGTGGTTGGGACTCCCCTCCCCGCCCGCTGCGGCCATGGAGGACCAACGGAAGGACGGAGCCTACGGTAGGGGCCGCCTCCGGCCTGGGGCCGCCTTCTGTGGAGCCGGGGGTGGGGAGAGGACAGCCGGGACCTGAGAGGCCCGCGCTGCAGCTACCCAGGTCCCCTCCGCCCGGGCCTCTCCAGCTCGGCCTGCGCTCGCCGCCCCGCGCCCGGGGCCCCGAGTCCCCCAGCTCCCTCTCGGCGGCGGGGTCGAAGCACGGCGCATGCTCCGCCCCGGAGGTCCCGTTATCTGGGCGACTCAGATGGCGCGCGGGGGAGGGGAGACGCGGGACGGCGACCGGGACGGGATCCGGCCCTGACCTCTCCAGACCCCCGTTTTCCTTCCAGATCCTTTTGTCCACTTCCTCCTACCCACCTCCTTCCTCCCCTGGCCGTTCCCCTAATCGCCACCCGCGCCCTGTAACCATTCTGGGCTTGAGGCTAGATTGGTAAACTGAGGCAAGCCTGGACAGACAGGATCCTGGAGTTGGAGCTCACGAGTCCGGCCAGGCGTCTGGGAAAGGCGGAAATAAGGGCGCCTCTGGTGAGGAAGGAGGCCGGAAACCACTGAGAAACTTTCCCCATCCTGTGCAAGGCGCCAGGCTGCCCGCTTGCTATTGTATGGGGTCCCCCCATATAAACCCCAAGGGCAGCCTCAACCACGTGGCGCTGGGTTGGGCCCAGAATGGGGGGCCCTCCCTCCCTGGCGCCTCCAGATTGCAGCCAGAACCCCAGAAGTCAAGTGTTGTGGGCCTCAGTATTTCCTTCCTTCCTCCTCCGTATCTTGGGTCCCCAGGCCCCAATTTGGGCCAAGACCCAAGAGGCACTGCTCAGGGGTTCAGGGGCCTTGAACCTCAATGTGACCAGAACTTCCTAGACACTGCCTTGGGGAAGGCGTGGCAAACAAGGGAAACAAGCGGCCAGGCCTCCGGTCCCCCCAGAGATTGTGGCCTCAGGAGGCTTCAGGAGAGCTGAATGTGGTGGCACACACCTGTCATCCCAGCACTTTGGGAGGCTGAGGCAGGAGGATCACTGCAAGTTTGAGGTCAACGTGGGCTGTGTAACCAGACCCTGTCTCAAAAGAACAAAAACAAAATGGGCAGAAAGGGCGGAAGGAGAAACAGAGGGAGGAGAGTCAGGGACCCTGCCCAGCCCAGAGAGGGAGCACCGGATCGAGGAGCTCCCCACCCCTAAGCTGCCAGCTCTGTCTTCCACAGGGGCCCTCCATGGCTCGTGGTTTTGATTACCACCGCAGACTCCAGGTCTGCACACCGTGCACCCCTGGGAATGTCTCTGTGTGTCTGTGATGGAGACCTGGCTCCTTGGGGTCCTGGCCCAGTGAGAGATCTTTGGTGTCCTGAGGTTTGAGGGGAGAAAGCCAAGGGGACGAGGTTAGGCATCACCCACATTTAAATCTGGCCAAGGATGGGGTGAAGAAAATGACCCTTAGCTACCACGCTCACCCCAGAGGCAGGACAGGCGACCTCTGTCCCACGGGTCCAACAGTACATTCCTTCCACAAGTTCTGTCTTGTTCTTGAAGCTGGCCTGGAACTGGGCCTCCCACAGACCAGGTGGGTGAGGCATGCACCACAGAGCAGCGGCCCCAGCCTCAGTCAACAAGTTTTTATTGGCTTCTCCCGGACAGAGCCCTGGACATTGGGAACACAGCTCTGAGCAAAGCAGCAGCGCCTCGTCCACAGGGAGGGGATGGAGAAGACACATGTAATTGCAGGTTGTTTAAGGTTGTGAGGCAGAGAACAGGACACCGAGTGTGTGGCAGAATCATCAGTGTCTATTTTAGGGGACTGAAGGCTGGATGTGGGTCCGGCGGTGGGAATACTGGTGGGGTGCGTGTACCAGCAGGAGGAACAGCAAACAAACCACACAGTTGTTTAATTACTTCCCTCTCTAAGGTTCCAAGGAGCCTGAGAATGGGAACTTCATTTGGGCTCGGCATGGTGGTGAGCCTCTGGGAGGCCAGCACCTGGGAGGCTGAGGCAGGGGGATTGCTGGGAGTTCAAGGTCACTTTGGGTTACATAGTGAGTGCAAGAGCAGCTTGAACTGCCTAGGAAGACCTGGTCTCAAAAAGCAAAGCAAAACCAAACCAAAAACAAAGTCAAGAAAAGAAAGAGAAACTTTCTTGTAGTGGGTATCTGGTTTGGTTTTTGTTGGTTTCTTTTTTGAGACAGTGTCTTATTATGTAGCCCAGGCTGGCTCTGAACTTACAGTGATCCTCCTCTTTTTTTTTTTTTTTTTTCCTTTTGATTTTTATTGGTACCAGGGATCGAACTCACAACCGCCTGCTTGCAAGGCAGGTGCTTATGCTGCTGAGCTAAATCCCCAGCCCCCTAATCCTCCTCTTTTAGGCTCTCAAGTGCTGGAATTACAGGCAAGGCATTGCTGTGCCTGGCAGGAAGCTCCTCCTTTCTAGATCCCGTTATCTGTTTTTTTTTTTTTTTTTTTTGTCTTTCCCCTTTTTATCGGTACCAGGGATTGAACTCATGACTGCCTGCTTGCAAGGCAGGCACTTATGCTGCTGAGCTAAATCCCCAGCCCCTTTTTTCTGTCTTTTTGAGACAGGGTCTCGATGTGCAGTTCAGGGTGGCCCTGAGCTTACTTTGTAGCCCAGGCTGGTCTCGAACTCCCAAAGATCCTCCTGCCTCAGCCTCCCGAGTGCTCGGATGACAGGCGTGAGCCACCACGCCCTGCTAGATCCCGTTATCTTCAGAGGTTTCCTGCCAGCTGGCTGGCAGGGAAGCCAGGAAATGGCTCTGGGCCCTGACGGATGTCAGCAGGGGACACCATCTTCATGTCCTGCTCACCCTGGCACAAACTGCACTTCAGATTCCACAACTCAGAACGATGAGACTTAACCGGGAGGACAAAGGGCCGGGGACGCAGGGTACTGGTGCTCGGCTAAGAAGCAGATTTCAGCGCTTCAGCTGGGCATGGTGGTGCTTGCCTGTAGCCCAGTTCTTCAGAAAGAGAAGGCAGGAGGATGATATGTTTGAGCCCAGCCTGGACAAGTTAGCAAGACCCTGTCTGAAAATAAAAATAAAAATGGCTGGAAGGGTGGCTCAGTGACAGCTTATATAGCAAAGCTCACGGTCTGATCCCAAGTTGGAACTTTTTTTAAAAGTAGATTTGGGGACTGGGGATATAGCTTGGTGTCACAAACACCTGCCTGGCAAACACAAGGTCCTGAGTTTGATTTCTGACACCCTCCCCCCACAAAAAACCACTTTTTTTTTTTGGTTTTTTTCTTTTTTATTGGTACCGGGGATTAAACTCATGACCACACATTTGCAAGGCAGGTGCTTATGCCGCTGAGCTAAATCCCCAGCCCAAAAAAACACTTTTTTAAAAAGCGGCTTCTATCAAGCACTGTGGTGCACACCTATAATCCAGTCTACATGGGAGGCTGAGGCAAGAGAATTGCAAGTTTGAGATCAGCCTGGGCAGTTTAGCAAGAACTGTTATATAGCAAATTAGAGATTCTAATAAAGGGCTGGGGATTTAGCTCAGCAGAGTAAGCACCTGCCTGGCAAGCTTGAGGTCATGAGTTTGATGCCTGGTACAAAAAAAAAAAAAAAAAAAAAAAAAAAAAAAACTTAAAATGAATAATAAAAAATTGAAATATATAACTTTCAACTCTTACATCATGAAATTAATATGTTCTCTTTTTGGGGGCCGAGAAACTCCAAACTAAAAATAAGCACTAAACCACAAAGAAGATTTTAATGTTCCATGCTAAAGAACCTTCCCCAGCCCTCGGCCAGCTGTCTTCAGCCCAGACTAACACAGGCAGGAAGTCTCTCCTTCCAAAACTTGGTCTACTTATTTCTGTGTTTCTTTTTGTTTTGTGAGACAAGGTCTCACCATGGCAGTTTGTTTGCCCTCCTTCAGTAAACCTTCACTGAGCAAACACCGCGTGTCAGGTTCTGTGCTAGACTGAGACGCTGCCGGTGGGGAAAACGTGGCACCCAACACCTGTCACCTCTGTACCCAGGAGGCTGAGGCAGGAGGATCCTAAGTTTGAGTCCAACCTGGGCAACTTGGTGAGACCCTGTCTCAAAAAACATTTTTTTTTAAAAAATGGGGAATAGTTCAGTGCAAAAGCCCCTGGTTTATTACCCAGAAACACAGGACAAGAAAAAAGTCTACAAACTCTGTCCCTTGTCCTCATCTTTCCTTTGGTAGTGCCTGGGTGGCTGGGCCCAGGCCCGGCCCTGCGCCTACACTGAGCTATTTCTTGGTGTTTCTTCATCTTGTTACTGTTCTGTCTTCTTCTTTTGCTGGTAAACAGAAGAACATAATTTAATATTGTTTCCTGTCAGTAGAGCTCACCATTTCCACTGTGGGAATGGGAACATTTCCCCTATTAAACCAGCCCAAGGAGCTTTATTTTAATTTTATTTTATTTGTCTTTTTGAGACAGGGTCTCCCTGTGCAGTTCAGGCTGGCCTTGGGCTCAGTTTGTAGCCAGGCTGGTCTGGAACTCATAGTGATCCTCCCGCCTCAGCCTCCCAAGTGCTGGGATTACAGGCATGAGCCGTCACACCTGGTTTATAGATATCTTCCTAAAATTCCTTGACAGTTGAGCGCGGTGGTGCACACCTGTCATCCCAGCATGACACGGGAGGCAGAGGCAGGAGGATCGAAGTGAATTCATGGGCAGCCTGAACTACCATAGTGACTCCTTGTCTCGAGAAACATAAAAGAGAACAAAAAAGACATGATGGTTCCCAGAGGTCAGCGGCTTGTCTGGGGCCTGGTGTGTACGGCAGGTGCTGGGTCTATGCCTCAGAGAACTCCCAAGGCCTGCCCGCTGGGGTGCCATCCTCAACCCCGCACCAAAGCTGCCGGTCAGGGCATTGGAGACACACTTCTCCTCCGCAGAGACTTCTGGGAAGCCAGGGCTGCGTAGGCGAGGCTCTGGCTGCAGCCCTGGGGAACTTGGCTGGTGTCTGGGAGCCGTGGGGGCTGGGTGGCATTTGATGCTTTGGCAGGAGCTCTGTAAG